ACACTACAGAAAACAGCAAGATCTTCAGTTAGTGTACTTTCATATTTTTAGGAGGAAGAATTAAGTGCAGTAATTGACAAGGAAAATAAATGTCAAGAAATACAAGATATCAAGCCCTTCAGAGTGACTAATATTAAAGTAGAGCTTATCTTCACTGATTAAAAAAAGGATGCAATTTCAGTATGCCAGCAAAATAAAAAAAATTATTTGTGAGCTTAAGCTATAAAAGTTTTATTTAAATATTATGAAGCACTACTACACATCAAACACACACACACAAAATTAACTTTAGTCATCACTAACGTTTTCAGCTACATTCAAATGCCTCCAATTTTTTCTACCTGTGTCTAGTGCATAAGTGTCAAAGTTTATTCACATTTTAAAGCATACACTTAAAATATCTTAGGGGTTGGCCACAAATTTGTAGAGAGCAGAATTCCACAAACTAGAGGTTCCCTTTGAAAAAAAAAATACGGTTTTTTATGAATCTTCTTCTCCTTTCTCCAGAAGTTTCCATAACAGGGCTAGAGGCAACATTAGGAAATCTGCAGGAAGTGAAAATCAAAGTGAGGTAATATCTCCTGTGACTATGATAGCATTTAATTAGCAACTGTAGGGCAGTAAATCATGATCAATATGCCCCTAAAAATATCCAGTATGAAAGCTACAGATACTGTATTTGCAAGCAGCTGCATCAATAAATAATAACTTGAAATCAACATTAACTTTTGACAATTCCATGGTTATCTTATCTAATAAGACTGGACTACTGCAATGCTCTCTACATGGGGCTCCCCTTGAAAAGCACCCGGAGGCTCCAACTGGTCCAGAATGCGGCCGCGCGGGTGGTTATGGGCACAACTCGTTGTGCCCACATGACACCCCTCCTGCGCGACCTGCACTGGCTCCCAGTGGTCTTCCAGGTGCGATTTAAGGTGTTGGGTTACCACCTTTAAAGCGCTCCATGGCATTGGACCTGGATACCTTCGAGACTGTCTTCTGCCACCAGTAGCCTCCCACCGGCCAGTTCGCTCCCCAGAGAGGGACTCCTCAGGGTGCCATCGGCCAAATTATGTCGGCTGGCGAAACCCAGGGGGAGGGCCTTCTCTGTGGGAGCCCCTACCCTTTGGAATGATCTGCCCCCAGAAATTCATAAAATCTCTGATCTCCGTGTATTTTGCTGTGCCCTCAAAACCATGTTGTTCCGCCAGGCTGGGCTATCAATGTAAAGATTTTAATTGGTTTTAAATGGGATTTTAAATTTGGGGTTTTATAAATTGGGCCTATTATTTAATATTTTTAATTATTTTTAAATTTTGTCTGTCTTTGTGTTTTTAATTAGGCTGTACACCGCCCTGAGTCCTTCGGGAGAAGGGCGGTATAGAAATAAAATAAAATAATAATAATAATAATATATGAAAACAAAATTGAATCTCTATTGTACCTTCTTCAGCAATAAAAATAAGCTATTTAAATTACCTTGATGAATTATATAGAATCACTAGTGTGCTGGTATTGCAGTATCTACTTTCATAATCTGATACAAACTTTTTCAGAACTAAGCATGCTTACCTAAAAGTTACTTCTAGTGAAGGAAAAATTTACTGATCAGGAAGTCATATCTTGTAATTAATATTCCCCTATTTCTTTTCTAATTACAAAAGTGTCATTCAAAATAATATTTTGATTTATACTGCCACCCATTCATATTCACAATGATAAAATTAGAGCAGCTGTGCAAGAATGGCATTTCTCTTTCAAACAGACATTATGAATTTAAAGAGGATTGAAAATTAGATTAGTCTTAAATAACTGACTAATCAATCAAATTTACAAGTATTTCTTTCTCCTCTGAAAATGTATATCCCAGTAATTTTGAAACTAAAGGACATGCCACAAATGTATTAGATTTGCCACTACAAAACATACATAGGAATAGTATTATTTTGTATACAAAGTATGGTTGAAGACTATTGAATCACTGCCTTCTAATTAAACTGCAGTTGTGATAAGTTGAAATTTCTGCAAGAAAGAAAACAGTATTTTAAAGTGCAATTGTAAATTTATTCTGACCATGTTTCTTTCTGCAATATTTAACAATTAAAGGCAATGTTGCTTGAGTAAATACTTCTAATACAAAGTATCCCCACTGTGAGTATACTAATAGAATAAATGTATTAAATGCAAGCAAAATGATATTTATATTAAAAATTATGAAAATATTTTTGTGATGGTGCTTCAGCTCCGGAATTACTTCTCTAGTGATATGTGACTAATATATTATATTTTTTGCATCAAGTCAAGATAGTTCATTTGTCCATGCAGTTTTAACTTATAAACTTGGCCTTTGATTATTTTTGATTGCCTCTCATTTTTCATTATTATAATTTGATTAAAGCTATCTAATAATGAAACATTGTACCTCTCCAGCATGAACCCATATGTATACATATTTTTAAAATTGTTTTAATATTCATTTTTAAAGAGTGCTATGAAGCACAGTTCCATATGTTAATACAAATGTGTGACAATGACTAATGTTCTCTCAAATATATTCATTTGGTATATTCATTATCCACTAATATTCTGAAACCAGAAATGCAAGGTCAGGTTTGATTTATGGTCAACAACTGAGTAAAATTGTTATTTTTATATATCCCAAAATGAATGAGCTAAGGATGTCATTCTTTAAAATTAAACTGAACATTCAGATAAGGGCCAGCTCTTTCAAATTCCTTTCTGGATGCAGTTCTGATCTTTTGCTAGTGGAAGATATATAAAATATAAAATGAAAGCAAATCTAGAAAACCAATTTATGGCATAGTAAGTAAAATTGCAGTGAACACGATCATCATCAACACACATAATCTTCAATAAAGCATAACTGGAACCCAATATTTTGGGCAATTTTCATCCTCTCTCCAACTTTCCTATTTTAGGAAAGGTTGTTAAAAAATAAGTCATACTGCAACTTCACAGAATTCTGGAGTAAGCTGCTTATTTGGACCCCATTTAGTTGAGCTTTAGGCTTAGCATGGAACTGAAACAGCATTGACTGAACTTCTGTTAGGAGCAGGATGGAGGTATAGGATGGAGGTATATGTCCATACTGGCTCTCTTTGCTCTCTCAGTGACTTTCAAGTTAGGGGCACAATCTTGTAGTGGTTTTCCTCCTTTCTTATTCAGTCAGTGTTGATGGGAGAGGAGAGATTGAACCCATACCCTATTTTATGATGTTCCTCAGGGTTCACCACTCTCTCCACTCCTCTTTTATATCTACACAAAGGTGAGGTCATTTGATAGCACGAGATAAGTATCATCAGTCTGCTGATGATAACCACTCATGTATCCCTGGTTCAAGTCAGCCAAGCAATGCTATGTTCTTTCAGTTTCTGGAGGCTGCGTTGGTGTGGATGGGCAAGTTCAACTCATGCAAGACCAAGTGGTTGTGAATTGAGGCCCTCCTGGATCTGATGAACTTCTATCTTTAATTTTAGATGGGATTGCATCAGGGTGGATTTGATTTAAATCGAGTTGTAAAAAGACTTGATTTAAATCAACTCAATTTAAATCATAATTTTTAAACAGCAACTGTCATTTCTGCTACTCCTTTGACCCGATAATCCCAGTGTTGCAGAATATACAACTTGTGCTACATAACTAAGCTCCATTTCATGCTGAATAAACTAAATTATTTATGTATCTTAAATAGAAAACTATCTTACGATAGATTTTTACCCCAAAAGTTTTTTATTAAAATAAATTCTATAAAAATAAAAAAATCTGATTTAAATAAAAAAAATCCGATTTAAATTTAAAAAATCCAATTTTTTTGATTTTTTTAAAAAAATCATTGATTTTTATCCACCCTGGATTGCATAGTCTCAGACAGAACATTTGTGCACATTTGGTGAGTCCTCCTGGACCCATGAATCCTGTTCAAGAAATAGATGGCAACTCCAATGTGTACCAGTTATGCCCATTTGTGAATCAGAAGGCACGGTGCATAGTCACCCATGCATTGGTCACCTCCCAACTAGAATACCACAATACGGTCTATCTGAAACAGCCCCTGAAGAACATTCAGAAGCTGCAATTCATCCAGAATGCAGCATCAAGAGCAACTATGGACATACCACAGTATGCCCATGTTACAGTTTTGCTTTACAAGTTGCACTGGATGCCAACAAGCTTTCATGTGCAATTCAAATAATTTGGCTCTACAGTGCACCTTTCTAGCATAAGGCCAGGTTAGAAAGAACTGCCTTTCTCCAATTGTCTCCACCCATACTATCAATTAAATAGTTTATTTAATAAACTAATAAACTTTAACTAATAAACTTTAATATTTATCTGGGCAGACTTAGGAAATATGCTGTTCTGTATCAATGTCTGATCTGTGAAACACCATTTCTCCTGAGATCAGATTAGCTTCAACACTTCTGAGCTTTTGCTTAGCCCTTTAAGATCTAGCTTCTCTTTCTGGGAAGAAAAGAGTTGAGTTTAGGAAGGGTTTGAACTAGCAAGTGTTTGAACCTGTGAGTTAAAATGAATTTCTTGTTGACTGAGTTGTTCTTGGTGGACATTTTTAAAATATGTCTTATATATTATGTTACTGTATTGTATACAATATTTATATTGTGTAAGCCATCCAGAGCTGCTCAGATCAGATGGCAATCATATAAATCTATTAAATTAAATAAAACAATAGACAAAAAGTAAAGTGTAAAATAATGTTCATGTACTCATGAAAGACAAAACTGTTTCTGAGTATCTAATCTTGTTTATTTTCCAGTAAAATAAAAATCTCAAGATTGATTAACAACTAAATACCAGCTTGTAGGGTGGCATAGAACAATTAAAACACATAATACATCTAACCAAATCCCTAATGAAAGAGATCAGTTTTGCAGTTCATCTATACACTTATTCCAAAATTTAGGGCCACAGTTTAAAAGTAAAGCAATTGAACTGATAAAATGACAGCAAAATATACTCACATGTAAGGAAGAAGGATCAGGTAAAAATTCAGCATCCTCTCCAAAGATAAAGTCAGGTGGCAACTCAGGATAGTGGGCATTAAAAATTATATCCCCTTAAAACAAGCAAACAAATAATAATTTACCTATTGTCACGGAAGAAAGTAAAACACTAACTTTGATCATTACACTAACATGGTTAGTGCTTTCCACTTCTCCAGTACTGAAGCCATGAATATTAACCACAATTGTCCATTTAAACAATGGCTAATATAAAATAGCAGGCAAAAGCTTCTGAACTGATCATAAGTATGCCAGACTTTTAGATGTGAAGCATATATGTCTAAGGCTTCTTACAGCTTATTCTTCTACTGCTAAAATCAGATCACTTTGAAAAAGAATAACATTTTAACACCTTTAAAAAAATCAGTTATTGTTGGAGAGCAATCATCCCAGCTGGCAGGAGGCTGAGGTGAGGAATTAGCCTAGATTCGCTATATAAATACAGGAGGGCTAGGTCTGATCCTTCTCCCCCAAATGCCTTTGAGACTTATCTAGTCCTATATTATAGGCATAGAACAAAAAAGTAGCTAGCTTGAACTCTATACATGTGGGTCTGATTGTTTCCACCTGACAAATATCATTCCATCTTCATCAAAAAGATCTTCCTCAATTGTTAAAAATTAAGTTAAAGGATTCTCAAATATGAAGTTTATATTAGTGAAACTATGTTTGAATTTAATATGAAATACCTGTTTATTTACAAGATTAAGTACATAGGTTTGTTCTGAAAATTGTTTTGGAAGCAACTGTTTGCTCAGAATGTAGTCTGAATATATGCAGTGTTCTAAGGCCGGGGTGGGCAACTGTGGCCCTTTTACAACCTGTGGACTTCAACTCCCAGAATTCCTGAGACAGCCAAGCTGGCTTAGGAATTCTGGGAGTTGAAGTCCACAGGTCATAAAGGGGCCATATTTGCCCACCCCTGTAAATCTAAGGCTTTTTTTTTAAAAAAAAAAAAAAGCTTTCCAGAATATGTAAATCTAGTCTCAGTGGTGGTAAACAATGGTTTATTCAGGAGCTAGGCAATCATGCCTTATTCAAAAATTATGGATGATATAAAATATGGTTTAATACATTCAAAGAACCCAACTACCATTCCTGTTTTGTCTCCAACTACTATAATTTTGAACTGTAAAACTCTTTTACATGCTTTACATGCTTTAATCATTTCTTAAGCCCTTGCTTCATGTTCATACTACCTTCATCACACAAAAAAAATAATGTTTCATCTACTCTGCCAAAATACTGTATATGCTAGTACTTTCCCTTTCAAAGTAAAGTAAATGCTATACTTGCTTGAAAAAGATTTGAAAGCGATCCTTCAGAAGGGATAAGAATGGAAACACAGCACCTCTAAAAAAAAGTCTTTTTGTGGGCTTCAACATGTCTCTGAAAAATGACATGGCTGCTTTAATGAGTTAACTCATTAAAATAGCTGCATCTTTAACACAAACAAGCAGCAACGTAATTCTCAGGTTCATGTGGAAGCCTGAAAAAAGATATGATTATTTTAAAGATATGCTACTTTCCAATAAACCATTTTCAAATCATTTTAAAGGCATACATACCTCAACCAATTAATATTTAATTTCAGTAAATGTTGCAATCTATTGTAACAAACTACTGAAATTCTAATCTTCTGATGGACTTCAGAAGAGAAGTTATGCTTCAAAATGTCATGCTTCAAAATACTTTATCTGAATTTGCAGCATGACAGCTGTTATGATTGATATTCTGCAAAAAAAAAAAAAAACCCCAAAAATTCTTCTTTTACAAAGAGGATATAGTAGTACCCACAAAGGAAGCATGCCCTCCTGCTGAGAAACAAATCATGGGCACATTTTCTTATTGCAACATTTCTAATGGCCTTCCTTCATTAAACTCTCCTGTTCTTAAAAGATAACAACCATACATCAAGGAACAGGATATCTGAAGTTCCTGTACAAAGCTGTCTTTCAATGACTGTTTCACCTACGGCCATTATGAAATGTCTCCCGATAAACAGACATTTTCCTCTAAGCATCTTTTTCACTATTAATTAGGAACTATACTATTTCTGCTTGTACACAGTTTTCAAAATATAGTTTCTACCCAGAACTTGACTTACATAGCATTTTTGGTGTATGTAATACAGATCTGCATATTCATAAAGGCAGAGCTCTAAGGAATGTCACAAATTATGCCTTCATATTAGAATTTTTCATTTTAACTTCATTCTAAGGTGTAGATTAGCCAGCAATTTACAATGTATCATCCAAACAATGATATGGATGCAAAATGGTTCCTTTTTTTCCCTCCTATATTAACCAAGCTCTTGTTTTTGATCATATTATTTGCAAATTTTATTCTTTTAAGTTAAGGTGAAAGAATGTAGAAAAATCTCGTAAAAGCAAAAAACGGTGAATACATGAAGTTTATATTGTCATTACGCAAATGACATAGTTTGTACCAGTGAACAAATGACACAAATGACAAATATTTGCTTTACCTGCATAACAATGTAACTGCAAGTTATATACTCTGATTTAAAAGAGAAACAGGAATTACAGAATCCATTCATCTCAAATGGAAATTGAGGTTTCACAATCGTGTGTGTGTGTGTGTGTGTGTGTGTGTGTGTGTGTGTGTTAAGAATTGCCTTGCCAACCCAACTACTTTGGAATAGCAGCTTGCCAGCTCAACTGTTGTGCCACTTTGTGACTCATGCACATTTAGCAATCTGATCAAAAATTCCTTGATATTTACATTGAAATGCAGTTTAGAACTTTAATAACTGGTTCACTATAGAAGGTAGAAAAGATGAGGTACACTGGCCTTCCTATCTGCTTTCTCTGAAATTCTCTGTATTCTTTTCAAAACATTTAAATATACTATACTCTCCAAAGAATATAAAAATATATGAGTAGAATCGTGCCCTAAAGCATGCTCCTCAAAAGTTTGTTAATTCATTTATTTCAATCACCAAATAACTCTGGGTGGCTTGACATACTAGGATTAAACTTTTAACTAGCCATATAATTCTTGGGTGCTTGATTTGACTTGCAACTGTGTAACAGAATGACAAATTCATGTCAATTCCTTTCTATTACTCCTGTGTAATAGAACCTTTTCAGAAAAAACTAAGATATGAACTCTTGCAAGGTTTCCAAATTTTTTGGGTTCTCATCTTCTAACATTTCATGTAAAAACACTGAAATCTCAAGTGAGTTCTAGCCATCCTCTATACAGATTGCTTGCTTTATGTCAAACACTCTAATATATCTTTGTATCAGATTAAGTGTTTCAGCAGATGCTATATCTCGGTGTCCCCAATCCCCGAGCAAGTGAAGATTCACCTGGGCATGCATGTGATCTAGGTTGTACACGTCCCCCTCTGGTCTGTGGAAAAATTGTCTTCCTTGAAACTGGCCCTTGGTGCCAGAAAGATTGGGGACTGTTGCTATATCTGATGGTACTATAAAATATTATATTTTTTAAAAAAATATGTGTTTCAAAATCTACCTACCTACCTACCTACCTACATCTATCTCATTCTGATACACACGCATATATGCATACAGTATGTATGTGTGTGTACATATATACCAGTGTACCCCCATTTTGATTTCTCAATTTATTTTCTATATGAAGCATCTGACTTGCACAATGAACAACTTCAAAATATCTACAAATTATAATGTATTATATATAAGCAAAAGAACAAACTCTAAAAGAGGTAACTCACAAAACCCAATTCTACTATACATGAAAGATGCCATGCAACATTAGATACCTTCACCACTGATTCAGTAAGTGATGCTTATAGTTTATGGGTAATTCACTGTCTTCCTATTGGTTTTCTCCTAATGTCTTAATTAAATTTTCTTAATGTTATTATCAGGCTGATGCATGTCTGTAAATATAAGTGATGAACTTTTATCAAATGCCTTACACAGAAGATACTTTCCACTGTATCTATGGAATAGAAATAAGAAACACAGATATCTTTATTAAAAATAAATATATTGATGGTTTCCCTTTTCTAAAACAAGGTCAAGGGACTAGAGAAGGGGGTACAGCTGCTCAAAAGTGGTAGTTGAGTGGGGACATTACAGCATTACCACATGTACCGCTCCTGTATATGTACATAAAGACACAAAAACTTATTACTTAAACAAAAATAGCGTAAAGTTTGTGCAGAAAGAAGGAGCATACATATATCCTTCTATATGCTAATAGCGAACTATAAGCTGATTTGCTTGGGACCCTGGAACCCTACTCACTCAAACAGAGACTAGATTCACATATAATGCTAAGCTGTGGCTTGCTTAAGCATGGCTTACTCAATAAAGTTCTGTGTTCACATTACATGCTAAGATAAAATGAAATATAAACAAAGTATATATTAAGAACTTAGTATGATTTTGGGACCAGCCAGAAAGCTCAAAGATTTTTTTTCAACCTCAATTACTAATGAATTAGCTACAGCAAAGCTAAACTGACAGTATGAATGAAAGAGCAAAAATAAGTTTTCATTTATCTCAAATAGATAACAGAGGCAAAGAACTGGCCTTGCAGCTCCTTCCTTGCTCTCCTATCCTAGCAAAAGTGCTGCTTAAATTGTTCAGTTTCCTACTTAATCCCCTTTTTAAAGTTGTCTAAACTGTCTGCTTCCCATTCTAACTCTAAATTGTGTGAATAGGCCTTAGCTATCATTCAGATATATTTTCAATGAGCCACAACCTCAAAATCTTTTCCTAATTAGCCACCATCAGCTATTAAAATTCTGTAAAATCAGAATTACTGAACCTCCTCATTCTACATCTGATTTGCAGTTTATCTGCCTGTTCATTCTGCTTACAGCAATGATTTAAAATTCTCCACAATACTTTTATCTGTTTGTTTTAACCATTGTGAATAATCTGCTTCAATCTAAAACTTGGCCCCTGATCTCTTTTAACTTTAGACAGTCTCTTTCCTCTGACTGTCAATTTGGTTTCTTCCCACAAGGCATTTTTGCACTGAGTTGCCAACTCCAGGTTATATGGCACCCAGAAGATACTTGATGGTGCCATTTCCCGCCAAAGTGAAGATTTGCGTTTTTACAATGAAGTAGAAGGCGAAATGGCATTGGTGTCCCAGTACATACTTGGCCTTAGCCTAAAGCTGGCTCAGCCTTTGCATGCAGTGAATGGTCACTCCTTGAACACAAATGTTAAAAGAAAAGGAATAATATCAGCAGAAACTACTAAAAATATTACTAAAAATAAAAATTTAAATAAATAAAAAGATATTGATTTGATGGAATATAGAGCAGACATCAGGCAGCTTTCTATAAGGAATGGCTTTTACAGATGAGAACAAGCAACCTACATAATAGAAATTATTAGTTTAGTTACAGAATCAAAAAGCCAGTAACAGTCTACAGATTATTTTAAGGTACCAAGTACTTACATTTTAAAGTTTCTCCAGCATATGGAATATGCAACTTAAATCGATCACAGCTGGGTCCAAGAGTTAAAGATGTGCAGCTACAATTAAAAAAACAACACTAATCTGAATTTTTATGAAGATTATAGATGCATATTGTAGTTACATAAAATTAGCTATACAAAGTACCATATATTAAGAACTTCAACTGTGTTTTTAAATGTTTCCTACTATTACATATGTTACTTGTTTTGGGGGATGAAAAGGTGAGGGTACAAGTTGGCAAGTTGTACAAAGCAAAATATAGTAGGATGAGTCCAAATGCTCAAAAGTATTCAATTAACCGCAATTACCGCTTCAAAAGGTCTCCCATATATAGTATGTGCATGGTCAAAATTTCTGGCGAGATTGCTAAGGCAAGCACGCTCACAATGCCTAGTTAGAGATCATCTTTAAAGAAGTGTTGCTGGCCATTCCAGAGGATGCAGCTGTTTTAATACTTGAGGAAGTTCATTCATTTCACAACACATCTCTTTCAAATGTTCCCCATAACCCCTCCATAAATTGCAAACAGGCAAACTACTGCATACACTATATTTTTATTTTTACTTATTTCATGCTCCACAACAATGCATATATTTTCATTTATTATTACATTTATAATCACCATTCTATTATTTCAGATTTTACAACAATAGCAACATACACTAGTTCAAATAAGTCTGATTACTTTGTAAAGTTGGTAGACAGGTTTATTTTGTCTTTGAGCTTAAACTCGCAAAATATTCAAGCAAACATTCTTGGAATTCTAAATATAGATTTGTTAAACATTCATTTTTTTGTAAATAATAATACCTTATTAATAAAACATTGGTGCTAAGCTTTCATTTTGACTTTTTAAAAAATAAAATGTTTTAACTGTTAACCACTTGAAACATAAAAGCCTCTCTTTTTTTGTAGCATCTACACTGTGACTGGCCCATGTAGGCTTTTGGAAACCATCTATAGATTGAGGGGTGACACTGAGGAGGTAGAATGGTTGAGTTACTATATATGAAGAACAGATTACTGTATAGTTACTGTATATGAAGAAGTATTGCCCAATGAGAGTATGAGAGTATGAAACCTAAGGTTTTAGAGTTAATTATTCTATTAGTAACAACGTTAAAAATATACTCATATCAATTTTTCTACTTTTATACTATACAGAAGACTCTATACCAGTGATAGCTAACCTTTTTGCCATCACGTGCCAAAAGTGGGGGGAGCGCAGCATGCACGCGTGCCAACATCCATAATTCTATGTGCCCTCGCCCCCCGTGCTCCCCCCACTTTTGGCACGTGATGGCCCGGTGGGCCCGGTAGGCCCGTTTTTCGTTCTCCCCAGGCTCCAGAGCCTTTCTAGGAGCCTGGGGAAGGTGAAAACGGCCTTTCCCACCCCCCAGAGGCCCTCCGGAGGCTGGAAACAATGTGTTTCCTGACTTCTGGTGGGCCAAGAAAGCCCAAAAATCAGCTGGCCAGCGCACGCATGCATGCCGGAGCCGAGCTCGCGTGCCCGCCGATATGGCTCCACGTGCCACCTGTGGCACCCTTGCCATAGGTTCGCCATCATGGCTCTATACACTCCAAGTTAGCCTTGATTAGCCTTCTCTCTTCCACTGGTCACTAAGACTGCAATCCTACATTTTTCCCTTATTGAACAAAGAAAGTTCATTTTTATGAGACCATTCTGAGGATTCTGCTTTATGAACTAAGAGGAAACACTTAAAATTAATGCCACTGTCAGGGTTCCAAGTAACACCCCTGACAGCCACAGTGTTGCAACGGAACTCTCTGGGCATACCCAATATATCTTGCTTAATGCTAGCAGCGTCTGCATGTTTCCAGGCTACTAAATGATTGTGGAGATTTGGCAGTGAATGCAAAATCCAAATCAAAGAGTAAGTAGCCTATGACTTCAGGGAACAATTACAGTACAGAACTTGAAACTTACAATGCCTTATTAAATAGAAATTTTCACTTTTAGGTTTTCCTCAACCAAATTATTTATATTGTACGCTTAAACTTATGAAGACATCAGATTTTACATCATTTTTTCTTGTTTTAGGCTACATTCTGGTGAATCCTAACACCCTTCCTAATAATAACAAATATTACCTATTAATATTTCATTTTTTCTGTATAGTTTTGACCATGTGACATATGGTAAATCCAAATTATTGTTAACATTTCTATGACTTGGTTGCAGGGCCAAATGTTTTTGTCTATTTCACACAGAAAAGTCATCAATCTTTGTTGTGCCAAGTGGTTTTGTTGTTCAGGTAACTTTTCACAGAGCCTGAAATTTAGGCTGAGAGGAAGTGATTGGTTCATGAAGTTCAACTAGAACTTCAGTTTGCCCAATCCTAGCCCAGCACCTTAACCATTACGCCACACTAGGTGTCTACATGAATCCAAGGAGACTTTTGAATGTAAAAAAATGTTTCAGGTTTTGCAAGTATAAGATTTCCTTTTTGTCTACTGCTCAAAATCAAATGGAAAAGGATATATCTGATATTATAATAAAAGAGATATTCAATAACAGCAATCTTAAAAGCAACGCTAAGTATTTTTCAAGGCTGTTAAAGTCTGCTTTCTAAAATATTTTATTACTCTAAAGTAAAAAGCTGACAGCATACGCAGTTGCATTTCACCCAATTATTTCGGTTTGAGGAAGCTTCACAGGAGATTTGAAAAATGGTTATTATCTGAACAATAAAAGACCCACCTCAGAAAAATTATCCAAATACCTGCAAAGAGCTACAAAAAGTTCCAAGAATAAAGAAAAAATATTAATAATCAAGTAATTTTAGCATTCGTATGCCAAGAAGAAATATATGACATATATTATGTATGCCTTTCCTGGTTATATACAGCACATAAAAAACTGTTTCTTGAATGTTTTTGTTATGCTAGCATCAGAAGAATTATTATCAGCTTTTATTTACCACAAAAAGAGCAAAGGTTTTTCAGGACAAAATTCCATGACAGGAGTTATCAATATTATTTATGAGTTTTCAGTTCATTTCCAAGGCAATTCAAACAGGAGAGTCTCTACTTTTAAAATCCTAAGCAGTATAGATGTCTAAATAATGACTTCTATCTGTAAAGATTTTCCAAAATAGATCTTGTTCAGTACCCCAATACAGTTGGAAAGCATTCTGGGTCATTATCTATAAAATAATTCTTTTCATAATGGCACCTAGAGTTAAAATGTATAGAAGGTTCCTTCTTTGCTCATATTGAGTGTTAATATTGAGATCTTTATTTTTCCTTGGATATTAATCTACTTTCTGGATTTACGGTAATACTTTTAACCTATGTTCTTTCTATGAATGTATCAAATCAACCCTATATTGTGCTCCTTATTTACCCTATGAGCCTTAGCAGCCAATTTGGCTGCCCATAATTGATATAATAAGCAAATTGTAAGTTTCTCAGCTCCTTCTTGTATTATATGAACTAAAGCTATGAATGTGCTTATTGTATTATGAGAACATTGTTTTTTTATTGCCTAAAGCATAAAAATGACAGTTATCAGATCATACAAGAAAAGAAGTATTGACAAAATATTATTCGTAGCATGTTTCACAGCAGTTATAGCAGCAGACATAGTTATTTTTAGTTTTACCTCTAGTTTTTCAGCGGAAGAAATTGCAACCATTCATTTAGTGACTGTTTAAAACTATAACAGTACTGAAAAAAATGACCTACGACTAATCTCATGACCATCACAGAATCCCCAGTCATGTGAACAAAAACTGGCATCTATTTATGATTGTTACAGCATTCCAGGGTTATGTGATTGGCGTTTGTGCCCTTCCTTCAATAAGCAAAGTCAACAGAGAAGTCTGGATTCACTTTACGACTGTGTGATTTATTTAATTGAAGGCAAAAAAAGAAAGATAAAATTGGGCACAACTCACTTAACAACTGCCTTGCTTAACAACAGAAATTCTGGTCTCAATTTTGGTCATATATCAAGGGCTACTTGTATTACAATATAATTTATGGACAGTCCATCAATCACCAATCATGTGAACCAAGTTACAACTAGTATTCCATTTAGGTTTCATGTTTATTTCAGGTGGAAAAATGTTGTTAATGGACTATTGGAAATTGCCACATACTAAATCAGACTATTTATTGTGAAGATTGACTGAAAACTGCTCTCTACGGTTAGGGTGGAGTCTTTCCCAATTCTATTGAAATAATCAAGAGACAAATGTGGCACTCCTATGCAGGAACAGCAACATATTCATCACAAAGGGAAAGAACTGCTTTTACTTGTTGCATATACCACTCCACTCACCTTTGAGCATTTCTTGGTCAAAGAAAAATATTTGAGCTTTGTAAATTTTCTGGAAAAAAATCTTAACCATGACCCAAACCAAGAATACCACCACCATTTGTCTTTTCTATTTTGGATGAAAAAAGGCAGATTTGAAATGTTCAGTTCTAGTGACCAGATGAGCCTTTAATCAATAACATCTAACAATTCAGTTTCTTCTCCTTTTATAGAACCAACTAAGGGAAGACAGCAGAAGCCATAGCTGAAAGGTGCTATTTCTTATTCATAAAGAAATATTCATTACATGTGGCTTTCTACCATTCTCTCAAGCCCTTGACCATATAAGTCTGCAAACTTTCCACAAACTATAAAATTTAGGAGATGATAGGTATTATCGCATAGCCATTAGCACAATTATACTTTTAAACAGGAACACCTCACAATAGAAACTCTTCCAATTTTTTTGAGAAATGCTATTAACCATGCTCAATAAACCTTTATAGAATCTAAAAAGAATAATTTTACTTCCCACTTAATTAAACATCAAGATTGTGTATTAGGTGAATTGTGAGAATCTAAGAATTTAATCTCAATTTTGGGACTCAGTCCCATCTTTCTATGTGCCTGGTATGACCTTGGTTGGATAATTTCCATTTTGCTCTAATTATATTGCCAAAGCAAGCATATGAGGCTTTATTCAGTTTATCAATTTGTACTCAAATAAGACATGCAAAACTATGCTAATCACAGACTGAGAGTGCAATTTGAGTTAAGTAACATATGACATTTGGAATATGACCAAATGGGAGCATCTGCAGAGGTCTACACAAATCAGTTTTAACATGATATATAGAGTAAGGCAATCGATCAGCACTAGAAAGATCAAATTCAAGCTTCCCTTCAGCTATGGAAGTTCATTGGGTGGGTAACTTTCAGTTTTTCATTCTCTCTCAACCCAACATACTTCACAAGGTTATTGCTGTGCAGAAAAATGGGGAAATGGTTTGATGTGTACACCAGCAGGAGCTCAAAAAGGTAGGTGGGCTGCCAGATCAAGCTTTGAGAAAGTATTCACCCAATATTAAAAGAACTAGTCACCTAAAATAATTCCTACTTTATTCTAGTGAGAAATAGAACATGATACCGAGACAATATGCTCAACTTGGAATGATTGTTGAAAACTAATTTCACTCTTAAGTGTTCTGCACAAATCAGGAAATCTTTGCAAATATGAAAAATAGATCAGAAAGAGCTTCTTTTTTTTCAAACAAATAAAAAATGTTAAAAGTGCTTAAAGATATTTGAAAACCAGCCCTTGGAATAACATCACAAGATCATAACTTGAATTTATTACTTACCCAGATTTCAGATCAGTAATCTTTAAACAGTTAGTTGCATCCAATCCCACTTTTCCATTTCTGACCACATTGGAGATCAAAGGAGAAAGTGATGGAGAAATTCTGTTTAAGGCAACTTCAGGAGACATATTATTTGTAAGTTATATTCAACTCTGTAAAGAAAATTAAGAGAAAGTAAAACAGAGCAATTCCATTTCTATATATCTTTACATTTTAAGAATTCAAAAGACCTCACAAATAGACACAAGTGAAAAAAAGGATAAAGGCAAAAAACCTAAAGTAAAGAATAAAAAAGCAGAGAGTTTATGGAAGACTGCAATAAAAAAGTAGGAACAAAGCTATTTAGAAAAATAAAAAGGATGTTTGGACAAGCATTCACCTAAATATACCCAATATGGTCTCTTTAAAATACACATTCATACACATGATTTGCTCAGTTTGTCCATTAGTTAATTCTGATGGACAATGCAACATGTGATCTTCAAATATGAGCACAATTTGCTATTAGCTTAATAAATCTCCCAGGCTTGTTGCTTGCCAAGAGGGGATCAAATGTTTGGTAGACAAAATATATGGATGGTTCAGCATTTTGCAAGTTGTTCAGACCATAAAAATGTGTTCAATAAAGTAAATAAAATTTCAGCACTAAACTTTAAACAGTATTCTTCAAATTTATCTTAGAGCGAACTCAACAATCACCAGCACATTTAGAATGGCTCGATTTTGCCCGTTTTTCAACTTGGCAAAAGAGAAAGCTTAAATAATGAGTCATATTGTATTTGATATGGGTTGTGCTGCATTTATTCTAATTATTCAAATAAAATTACAAAAAATGGGATAAAACAAACAGCAAATTTATCGTGGTTTTTTCCTTTTATAAAACTGTTATCTATGAGCCCATATGAAACATTATAGGCAGCTCATTAATTATATGTTTATGAATAAATAGTTCAGGAAAGACATGTTAAATAGATAGGTGTTGGCAGTCATTTATTGAAGAACATTTTACACCCCACAGTTTAAAACAGACACCCATTATGGTAAATTATTTTCATGTGACTTCCAGGACCCAATGTCCTTGAACATACCTTTAATTTTTAAAAAAAACTTTAGTCAATCTACAGACTTATGACCATAATTGAGCCCAAAGTTACAATTGTAAGTTGTGCTGATGTTTAAGTGGGTCACCACATGAACATGGGTAATTTTATGAACTTTTTGCAGCGATTGTTAAGTGAACCCATTGTACCTAATGGGAGGGATTTTGCCGGAAATTTAAAGTAAACTCCGGTTTCTGGCAAAAAAAAGGTCATAAATCAGTCATGTGACTATGGTGTACTCCAAATGGCCATAATGTGAACTGGTTGCCAAGTGCCCGAAATGTGATTATGTGACTTTGAGAGAGGGTGGTCAGAACTTAGAAACTGGGTCATAAGTAGCATTTGGAAGGTCCATTGGAACTTTGAACATTTGCTGAGTGATAGATTGTAAGTTAAGAAGTATTTGTACTGCTAAAGTTGACTCATGCATCATTAAGGATTCCGTTATAATACTGATGTGTAAATAATAAGTTATTAAACTTGGAATACCAAGTTTACCCATTAACTTTGTGTTTTGTATTTTCTTCCCAGAATGTTCTCAGCTGTATGAAATCTAATAAAGACAACGAAGGACTTTGGCTTTTTCTATTCCATCCCCACTATGTCACCCTTAGAAGTGCCCCACTTCTTAATAATTCAGGAAAGATTTAGAAGTTGGACAGTAAGCTGAATAAAGGATATTTTACTTGGGGGGGAAGTAAATATCCAACCATGTCTCTTCAATCAGTAGATTTCACACTTAAGTAAAACTATTGCACAAAAAATATATTTTTCAAGCATTCCAAAGCCAATAAGCAACCTAATACTAAAAATGAAGACTGAACGCATACAGGTGGAGGATTATAACTGAGGCCTCTGAAAATGGAAATCTGGATTCAAATCCATCCACATCCATAAAAGTTCCCTGGAGGGTATTCCTTTAATTAAATGATTAATTTAATTTAGTTAATAGAAATTTGTTTAGATGCATGACAATATAAAAACACAGTTAAAATTACCATGGTAACTTACAAAATTGATCCAAAGCCAATAAGCAGCCTAATAGTAAAAATTGGAGACCCATAGAAGGTTCTAGGTCACCTTCAGCCGTAGAAGCTCACTAGACAACTTTGGGCCAATTATAACATTTCAGCCCAACTTACTTCACAGGGCTGCTGTTATGGAGAACACTATGTATGTTCCTGTATGAAGGGAAAGATATATAGCTAATAAATAAATTAGCTAATAAGCCAGATGATATGCAGTCTTTCCTAAAAGATCCTCTGGAAGTGACTAGTCTTCATTACTTTCATTACTTTCTAGAAGGCTATCACTGAGAGGGCATCTAGAGGCTCTTCCACAATATAGGTGCCTTTTGATGGTGCCTTCCCCATCATTTTGCAACTGGGGTATCATGAACAGAATTTCCTGGAAGATTTTTCTTGAAGGGGCAAAACTCTGGTTGGATCAGATGATCCTGAAGTTCAGGAGCATCCTTCAGCCCAAGCAACTTCACAGAGCTGTTGTCCTGGGAGAAAAAAAAGGGGGTAGAGTGACATTTGTCAACTCCAACATCTAGAGGAAAAGTATATAGAAAAGTATAATATACGACTATGTGCCATCAAGTTGTCTTTGACTCCTAGTGGCTACATTCTCCATGATGAACGACATTATCAAACAAGATGCAGCCTGGCTCCCAAATTTATCTGTTAATAACTGACCATCCGTTTACACCTTTGCCTGCTGTAGCAAATACGAAAGATACAAGGCTCAACCTTAATAAACATCTGCAAAGTGTTAGGTTTTCGGTTTGATGAGTTTCGCCAGTGGTAATGGAGCAATCATTCCGAGCACTGCTCAGCAAAAGACAAGATAAATATCAATAAATATCAATGCTTGGAAGGGGGGGGGGGGGGAGGGGTCTGTTTACAACCGATTTTTAAAAAAAAATGGGGGGGGAGGTAATGCAAGAATGAAAGCTCCGATTTCCCCCGCAGGAACTCCTACACTTGACGCTGAGTCCCACAGCAAGGAAGATCGGACGCTGGAAAGAGCAGGTGACACAGACACCCAGCCCGCCTTGAACCGGGCTCGGCTTCCTCCGACCTCCCTCAACCACCACCGAGACTTAAGGGACACCAGCAGAACGATCAGAAGAAGCGCTTACAAACCCCGAAAGTGCGCCGGCCGCTCGCCTCTCCCTCGCGCCTCGGGCGCCTGCGCGGATCCGCCCACCTGAAAAGCCTGGCACGCTACAGGACGTTACGTGCGCGCCGCCAGCCGCCTTGCAGACACTCGAGCCCCTTTGCCCGGCCCCTCCTCGAAAACCGGAGGAAAGGAAAGGAAAGGAAAGTGGGCCTTCCCTAATGAGCATAGGTGGTCTTGCGCGCGCCTGACTGAATACGGGGTTGGTTTTTTTTTATAAACGGCGAGGGGGCGATGGTGCGGCAAGATTCTGCAGCGACCATCGGTCTCGTCCGTAGGCGCGAGTTAGCGTGAAAACGTGTTTTTTTTTAAAAAAAGGTGATCAGGCGTTTTAAAGGGGTAGCCAAGTAGAAGGACCCCGCAGGTAAAGCGGGCTGGTAAAGGCGGATAATGTTGAGAGCGGCTGGAGGAGAGGCAGGTTAAAGGTCACGTGGTGGAGAGAGAAAAAGTTTCTTGTAAGTGGCTCCTTGCTCCGTTCTCAGCATGGTAGTTGCAGAAATCGTCGTGGTGGGATCCTGTATGACTGATCTAGTGAGGTTAGTATTGCACGTGAGGCCCTGCTTTTTTCCCCCCTAACTCAATGCAAAAACTGGTCCAAATAAATCAGAGTCTTCCATTTACATGGAAAGAAAAGGTTTGGATCCACAGGTCCTCAAACTCTTCAGTTCACCAAACTCTTCTGTGAAGTTTTAGATCGTTTATTCACGCTCCAAACATTTATTATATGAAACTAATGAGTGCTATTTTAACTAATAGTACTTATGAATTAATAATAACTCTGGGTTGTCCCATCATCTCTTGGGGTTCAGTATGGACCACTTTGGGAAAAACCTAGGTTTTGTTGGAAGATGTGGTTTATTTACATTTATTTTTTAAGAAAATATATATGACTGCCCAATTTGCACTCAGTGACTCCAGGCGTCTTACAAAGATAAAACCTGATACAAAACCAATAAACCCTCACTCCCCCACCAACAACTATCAGACCAATCACTTTTTGGGCTCCCTATAGTCTGAGGTCCCAGATCCATTGGCAAAATCATGAATTCAGTGCATGATTGCCAAAGTGCATCATATTGGGGCCCAATTTTATGTCTGTAGGGATGATGTTCTATATGGAGAAGATCCTTCTTTTTGGTTCCACTATATGGGCCATTTTAGAGAGAGGACTCTTTAACTTTGTATGCCTGCCTGCTCTGGTGGGTCATGTAGATCTCATTGGGAAAACATGGTCCTTCTCATAACCCTTTTCTAGTGTTTTAGGTTGCCACAGTGCATTTGTGCTTGTCTGAATAATGTTCTCTCTTTTTTTTTTTTGTAATTTTATTTTATAGTATATAAAAATTCCAACTTCAATTGAACAGTGTGTTTGTCTGGGTACAAATTATTTTAGGAAGTAATATTCAAAATGTTTACAGCAATATTCATCACATTTATATCAATATATATTAATACCAATACTCATACTGTTTGTCTAACAAATTTAACACATCTTCCTTGTATCCCTTTCATATATTTCCCTGTTTCTAGCTTCTGTCTTTGTCAGCTAGCCATTGAATAATGTTCTTAGCTATCTCCTTTTATGGGAGGTTGGGTTGTTCCTTTAGTAATGGAGCACTTAAGTTAGTGTAGTTTTTCAATAGGTTTGCATTTGCAGTTTGCAATAGGTTTGCATTTTTAATTTGCCATTGTTTCCTTTGCTGATGAGGATATGCAGGAAGAGTATTGTTGCTATTCAGGAAGGATAGAGTCTTGTTGTTTTTTCCTCTTGTGAATTTTATCCCTTTGAAGATGTTGTTTTATGTGCCTTCTCTAATTCTTTTTTATTATGACAAAGATGTCATCTAGATACCTGATCCACACTTTTGGTTGCATGTGTGGAAGGGCTATAGTTTCTAGATGATCTATTACAGTTTCTGGTATGAGTCTTGAGAGCAGTGAATCCAACGAGACCTCAAATCTCTATATTGCTCACCACCTTTTAGGAGCAGAATACACAATGGAATGAAGAAAAATCTATAAACACAACACCAATATAGTTTCATGGGAAGGTGTATGAATCCCATGTATATATTCTGTTAATGTTTATAGTAAGTTGATAATTAGCAGAAGAATTAGTATCAAAAACACTTATCTGAGCCTAGAAAAGAAAAAGGATCAGCTCAGCAAAATGTCTCCTTATGGTCAGAATCATAATAATTGTGATGAATAATGCAAGTCGTCTATATCACCAAAGCATGGATTTCATTGGGGCTTATTTTCTGATTTATAAATGCAAGATCATCTGACATTTACATTCCGATTCATTTTTGAGTAAATATGCTCAATAATTACCACAAATACCCTCTCCTTCCTTCCTTCCTTCCTTCCTTCCTTCCTTCCTTCCTTCCTTCCTTTCGCTCTCTCTCTCTCTCTCTCTCTCTCACACACACACACACACAGTTTCCTGCTGAGACAACAGATTTTCCTTCTATTGAAGCTTCTGTTGAACATTGGATCTAATTTAGCTGACAGTTATGTAAATGTCTTGAGCTCCCTGTTGTAAATTAGTAGATAGACCTAGATATATTACTATTTGTTAACTTTCATCAATCATTCAGCCTGCCTAAAAAAATAAACCAGGTCATCTGAACCCAGCAGAATATTCAATAGGTTCCCCCTGTAGGTCTTCCCTGTCTCTTCCAATTTCTTGTCAAATTTTATTTGAACAAGCAGATACTTTGTTGCTTGATTTGTTTCCCTCTATGACTCTAGACACCTCTAAAAAAATTGTTTAAAATATTCTTCCTTTGGCCTTATCTCTGTTTCAATTTCTCCCATAGATTTCAAAGAAATCTGATTTCTAAGTTTGTATCTCCTAAAATTGGAAAAGTGCTTTATCATTGATAGGGAGAAAAGAACCTTTTTAACTGCATGGATTTTATCTCTGGCTATATTCCTCCACACCCCATGATCAGTGTAGACTTTTCCTTCCCTTTGTCTCAGAATGGAGTGCCATATTTCATGTTGTTTCACATGCCTAAAGCCACCTTCCAACACCTGATCATCATTCAGATTTAAAACACGTTAGTAAATGTTCCATAAAGCATTGAGTTACTGTTGATTATTAATTAACTCATAGTTAAGTATTTTTGCCAGTTATACAAGAACTATGTTGTACAGAATTCTGTGCAGGCTTTTTTCTTGAATACAATGTGTGTGAACGATACTTCAAAATATAGTTGATTTTAGTCCTAGTCCATGGTTTTTAAAAGCTTATAATTAGAAGTCGTTCCATGTAGTAACTTGGCATATTTAGTGTATTTTTCTCAGTTATGAAAATGTTGAGCATCCTGTATTGTTGAAATTATTATGCAAGATACTGAGATCTGTTTCTGAATCTTGAAGGTCAGTTTATTTTTTTTCTTTTCCTCTTGAGTTTGATTATAGTGGAAAATTTGGAAGAAATTTCCTATCATATTTGCTGCACAATGCTCCTGCCTTGCAGGCATCTGTGCTAATGTATGTCTACCCTGGATTCAATTTGCATCCAAATGCAGAATGGACCCCTGATCAGTGAAAGGTGTTCAAATAGAATTTTTGTTTATACAATGGAAACGCAACTAGGTTGTTCAGTTCCAGAATGCAGTTAAGTGCTATCCCTGAACTTTTTTCAGCACCTCACCCTTTTATTTAATCAACTATAAAATACATAGCTGTAAAATATAATCACCATAGAATATTAATTTTATGTTCCTTAGAATTTATACAAAAATTTATAAATATATTTATAAACAGAACAACTAGGATTAGGAGATTGTTAATAAACAACATTGAAAAGGAATAGTCCACCTGTGTAGTATTTTGAAATTCAGCATTTGCCCCAGCAAAAATTAATAGGTATTTTTTAAGCTTGTATTAGAGTATGTTAAATATGTGTGTATATATACAAGCTGTCATGTATGTATGTCACAGAAAATCATTACTTATTTAATTTTGTATTATTTGTTATTTAAATTTACATTGCTATCACAATTTTTTTTCAAGGAGCAAAAAGAAATGTGCTTGGTACTCCATTCTCTCTCCAGTTAGCCTAATCCTAACTCTTAAGATCATTATTGAGAGCTTCATGGATAAATGGGAATTTAAAACTGAATCTTCCACTTTTAATCTGATATTAAGCACTTAATCCATATTGGTTCTATGATTATTTAACCTTAGCATATTGAGTTCAAGAGCCATCCACGGAGGGTTGACAATACCAAAACAGTGGGCGTGACCTGGTGATTAAGCCTTGCCCCTTTTTACACCTGTGTGATTCACATTAGGAAAGGGCAGGATTATGATCATCCAGTTTCACACACTATTTTGAGGTTCTTGACCCCCCCCCCGCCCGCCAGTTGTGTGGAAAGACACAATATATATTTGCGGTATGAAAGAATTATGAACATACAGCATTGGTCAAATAAAAAATAATGATGAAAGTCAATTGAGATATAGGCTGATGGCGCTGGAGTAGCAACAGTTGTTGGTCTTAAAAAGCTGAGAGGAAATTTTGAATTTAAATAAAAGTTGCAACAAAAATGAAAGTGGGAGAAGATAAATTGACATTTAAAGGAGCCTTTCTTGTCCCACAATGACCCCCAGATTGGTATGAATTACTGATGTGTGTATGTCTGCATGTAGAGTATGTGTGTTTAGGTAAGCTGTTATAAATGTTTATTATACCTGAAGATTGATTTATCCCAGCTGTCATTTCCATGCTACACAGTCTCTCTATTTTCCAGAGAAGTGAGGTGGTTGTTTGTAGTATTAGCTATTTCCATGGCAGTAGACCGTGATGCCATCAGGGGAAGACTAAAATGTTTCATTGGACATGGGCAATTAAAAATCAGGAGATAAGACTTACATTTTACCAAACTCCTTGGCATTATAACCTACATGAAGCTAAGAAACGATTGCTGAATTCTTAAGGGACTCAGTATGGGTAAGAGAATAAATGTTTGTGTTGTTTGATCCAAGCAAGAAAATGATTACATTTAAAAGAAAACAAAAGTAGCCACGTGAAATGGCTTTCTGTATTGTGATGGAAAGAACAAATATAAGTTTCAGAATAAT